ACCGTTTTACTAAAAGCTGAAATTACAGCTGTCAGTACTACTTCGTGTTTCTGTTTTTATTTTAGAAAATAAAAAAAAACATTTTGGTAAAATTTGCAGATTGCTTATCTAATTAAACAAAGTGAGGAACCTTGATCCTCGCCAGCCACTGCCTTTTTAAACCTCATGTATTATGTGATTTATAATGGACTGTGGTGCAGAAACAGTGAGGCTTACATTTTCCTGTTATCTGTCAGTGGCCATACTTGATGCACTAGATGTGACAGTTTCTGAGATGTGATGCCATTTTCTTTGGTATGTTAGTTGTATGTTTGTTACGTCCAGATGAGCCAACCCTCCTAAGTTGTAAAATACTGTATACTGCACTTAATTTCTTGATGTGGCTATTTATTAATGAACAAGTAACAATAATATTCATAAAAACATTTGTTTTATTGAGTAATTAAGTAAATATAATTTCCTCACAGAGGACATCTTAGCTATACAACTCGCTTGGATAGGGGAGCGGGGGGGGGGGTGACCTTGTTGTCACTTATCTTAGTTAACAACTCTTTTTATTTATTTATTTTTTATGCGTGGGCCGTGCGGCCGAGATAAACGTCATCACGTTTTGTGCGCGGTGGCTTCTGGGACAAACCATATACGGACGTTCAACTTCTGTCAACTTCCGTCACGTTTGTCTGCAGGCTGCAGCTGGACCTTTCTCCATTTTGGCAAGAATGGTTAAAATTCCCGGAACTGTTCTTGACACGCCCATTATACCAAGGATGCATCGGTTGGTAACTTGTGTGAAGCTGACAGCAAAGATATCCCAGCAGTATGTAGCTACAGTACCGGAGTCTGCAGTTTCAGGGCCGCAATCCTAGGACCGGAACTGCATTTCTAGGACCCATTGTTTACTTTGATACTGCTAGCCAGCCAGCTAGCTGTGTTACTCTTGACAGTCCCCCCGAAAACCAATTACCCTTACCACAACCATCACCTAGTGTGTGCCTAAACTTATTGATTTATATGCATGTCGACCCAATATTATATAGCTGCAGTACCAGGGGATACAAAACATTTTGAGTTTGAACTCGCCCCTGGTCTTGTAAAACTTCAGAAAAAAACAAACAAATGGTGCGGAGGGGGACTGTCTTTACTTTATTATTATTAATATTATATTAGACATTACACTGTTAGTGTACAGTATAGTTGTGGTCACAGTATTTGCAGGCCGTCTCTGTGCTTGGGGTATTGCGCAATACCAGCAAGAACGCTAGATCTCAAACCGTCAGCAGAGTTTTGTATGCTTGTGACATTGCAAGTTCAAAAACGTTTTTGCTACGTTTTGTCGGCGCTGAACTCGCCCCTGATGCAGGTCAGTGCTTGGGAAAAAATAGGTGCCAGTTGGGTTTAAGCTCTGCATGACTAGTCTAAGTTTTCATCCTTGGTTCAAACCTATAAAGACTGCATTTCCTGTTAAAGAGGATAAACCAACATGAAGACCAGAGAGCTGTCTATGGGAGAAAAGCAAGCCATTGTCAAGCTGAGAAAAGAAGGAAAATCAACCAGAGCCATTGGACAAACATTGGGCATAACAAGCACAACAATTTGGAATGTCCTGAAAAAGAAAGAGAAACTACTGGTGTACTGAGCAACAGACGTCGAACAGGTCGGCCAAGGAAAATATTAGTTGATGCAGGGTACCCCCAGGATTCTCAAGGTTAAATTTAAGACTTTTTAAGACCTTTTTTAATACCAATACCTAGGATGAAATTTAATACCAACTTCACTACCGTATAATGAAAAATCTGTATGAATTTTAATGCCAGAGATAGTTATTTACGAAGTTACATGTATTTAATAAAACATTTTATTATAATACATTAATATTTAACACACTATAGCTTTTTGGGGTGTGTTTGTACTTTAATACAAATCAAGGATGTCAGTTTGTGTTGAAAAGTGGTGGGGACATAGGGATTCGAATTAGGGGTGTGACAATACACTTAGCTCACATGCACGATTTACAATATTGGGTTCATGAGAACAAGACAAGATGATATTTTAACACTATTTTGATGAAATATTCAATGCTGAAATATATAAATGGGGGTCTGGGTGTCCCCTAGAATATTTTGAGAACTGAACACTTAATTTCCTGCATTCTGGAGAGATATAATTGTCTTTATTTATATACAGGTGCTGGTCATATAATTAGAATATAATCAAAAAGTTGATTTATTTCAGTAATTCCATTCAAAAAGTGAAACTTGGATATTATATTCATTCATTACACAGAGACTGATATATTTCAAATTCAGTATCTCCAAAAATTTGAATATTACTTAAGACCAATACAAAAAAAGGATTTTTAGAAATGTTGGCCAACTGAAAAGACTGAACATGAAAAGTATGAGCATGTACAGCACTCAATACTTAGTTGGGGCTCCTTTTGCCTGAATTACTGCAGCAATGCAGCGTGGCATGGAGTCGATCAGTCTGTGGCACTGCTCAGGTGTTATGAGAGCCCAAGTTGCTCTGATAGTGGCCTTCAGCTCTTCTGCATTGTTGGGTCTGGCGTATCGCATCTTCCTCTTCACAATACCCCATAGATTTTCTATAGGGTTAAGGTCAGGCGAGTTTGCTGGCCAATTAAGAACAGGGATACCATGGTCCTTAAACCAGGTACTGGTAGCTTTGGCACTGTGTGCAGGTGCCAAGTCCTGTTAGAAAATGAAATCTGCATCTCCATAAAGTTGGTCAGCAGCAGGAAGCATGAAGTGCTCTAAAACTTTCTGGTAGACGGCTGCGTTGACCTTGGACCTCAGAAAACACAGTGGACCAACACCAGCAGATGACATGGCACCCCAAACCATCACTGACTGTGGAAACTTTCCACTGGACTTCAAGCAACATGGATTCTGTGCCTCTCCTCTCTTCCTCCAGACCTCCAGACAATCCACTGTTCGAAGAAGACTCAGAGAGCAGAAATACAGAGGCCACACCACAAAATGCAAACCACTCATCAGCAGGAAGAATCAGAAGGCCAGATTGAAATTTGCAAAGAAGCACAGAGATGAGCCGCAAAAGTTCTGGAACACAATCTTATTGATTTATGAGACCAAGATTAATCTCTACCAAAGTGATGGAAAGGCCAAAGTGTGGAGAAAGAAAGAAACTGCTTATGATCCGAAGCATGGTGGAGGTAATCTCATGGCTTGGGCGTGCATGGCTGCTTCTGGAACAGGCTCATTATTTACTGATGATATAACTGATGATGGTAGCAGCAGAATGAATTCGGAAGTGGACAGAAACATTTTGTCGGGAGGAAGTTTCTCATGCAGCAGGTCAATGACCCAAAGCACACTGCCAACAAAACAAAGGACTTCATCAGGGGAAAAAGTGGAAAGTTTTAGACTGGCCAAGTCAATCATCTGACCTTAACCCAACAGAGCTACATTTCACCTCCTTAAGAGGAGACTGAAGGAAGAAACATCCCAAAACAAACAAGAACTGAAATAAGTTGTGGTAAAAGCCTGGAATAGCATCACAAATGAACAGTTGGTGATGTCGATGGGTCGCAGGCTTGAGGCAGTTATTGCAAGCAAGGGTTATGCCACCAAATATTAAATGTTATTTACTTTTTCCCAGGGTGGTGTAGTGGTTGGCACTGTTGCCTCCCAGCAAGAAGGTTGTGGCTTCAAACCCCAGTTGCTCTTGTGTGAACTTTGAATGTTCTCCCCATGTGTGGGTTCTCTCTGGGTGCTCCAGCTTCCTCCCACCATCCAAAGACATGCAGGCTAAGTTGTCTCTAAAATTGTCCCTAGGGGTGAGTAGTTATGTGTCCAGGGTGTACCCTGCCTTTTGCCTGATGTAAGCTGGGATTGGCTCCAGACCCTGTATGCCGGATAAGCGGTTGACGATGGATAGTTGTTCCATTACTTTTGCTCACCTAAGAATGCTGTGGTCTAAAAAAATGTTTAACACATCTAGATGTGAATACCAGGAAATAAAAGCTGAAATTCTGAACTCTTGTCTCATACTCATCTTTTGATCTTAAACCCAAATGTCCTCAGTGAACAACAAAAACAAAGGAATTTGCCTTACTGTTCCAATACTTTTGTAAGGGACTGTATATTTCAATTGCATTGCATGTTTTCTTATTGTGTATTGTTTCATTTGTTATTTAACATTTGTTGTTGCAAGTTGTTTTTCAGAATATTTTTAACAAAAGCTTTCAAAAAGAGACATTCAGACTCTGACCTGTCCCCAGCATCCCCAGTGTAAATGACGCCCATCTGTCAACATATTTAAATGTCCCGCCCCATCCAGGCTGTGATTGGTCGGTTCACACAAGTGACATTGACGAGCTACATTCAGCACACGGCTGCTTGAAAGGCACCCGAGGTTCTCCCTCGTCTCTGCCGACAGAGTTTAGCAGGCAGGCGAGAACGGGAACAGGTGAGCGTTACGTGGCGCCCAGATAACCTGATATGCAGAGGGCAGAGGAGAGGACAGGTGTTGTGCCGCATTCTGCCTGCCTGCCGAGAATTGCATGCACCTCGCGGGTGATAACGGTCATTTATGCTGAGATAAGAGGTGGATGAAAATGTCGACAGGTAGCCTTCAAAATTTGATCTGCCGAATTATGCATCCACTTCTTTAGGTACTTTTCAGACACTTTGCTGTGCTCATTTATCAAACGGCGTTATCGCCACATATAGGCTAGGCTGAATGTCAAGGAATGGTAGGCTAGCTACTTCTACTAAGTGTATTAAAATATTAAAGACTCTAAACGTTCATAAAATATATACTTTGATCATTTATCAACCCCACAAAGAATATTATAGCGTTTAAAAGCAGTAGCCAGCTTTTGGAGATGCATGCAATTCTCGGCAGGCAGGCAGAACTCGGCATAACACCGGCAGCTTGGGAGAAGTCCCGGTACGCCATAGAGTAAAATGTCGAGGTGCCGGTATTGCGTACCGGGGCGTTCTGGCTCACTTCAAGCACTGCGCAGGTAGAATGTGTCCGACTTGACGTCGCTGTTGTCATATCCGCTCCTGCAGCTCACATCAAGTCGGCGAAAGTCCGCTGCAGTTATCTCAGATGCACCTATTGTAATTGGTAGCCTAATATGCAAAACCCAATTGACTATAGCAGAAGACAGTTAGACTGGAAAATTTAACTCCCATATTCACTTTCCTTTTAGCTGTTTTGTTCTCAATCTAGATGTTCTACTGTTTTCAATATAGTCGTTATCTTTTTTTGCAGGGAGTTGATGGTCAGTGAGTTTGTCAGACATTTTTTGATACAATGAGTTTTTGCTGCAGGAGACAAGGTTAGAGTCAAGTTAGGCCAAACTGAAAAAGCATTGTAAACATAAAACATTTATTAATACAGCTTTAGCATAAAATAATGTTGTTTGTAGAAATGTAAGAGAGGACTTTTCATTTCATTTAATACACATGTTTTATAACAACTCTTCTGTGAAGTGTGTACTGTAGTTGTTTTTATCTAGCCTACTATTTGATAGTGTTCATTATTGGTGTGATGTGTATGTCCTAGGCCACTAGAGGGCAGCAAGTACACCTATAATTTTATGCGGCTGTATGAAATACAGTCTGATTTATACACAGTCAGTGGATTACCTGCAGTAGATGGCGGTCAGTGTGTCCCCAGTATGGAGAAACTGCTTTTAACAGGGTCAGCAAGTCCATGCTAAATGAGCCTATCACAGCCAGGTAAATCTCTCTGTATTCATACCCTAGCTTTCAAATCTGGTGTCTGTGGCGACATTACCTGTCGCAGCAGAATGATGCGTTTTATGTCAACCAGCAATTATTGGTTTGGTGGTTTGCCAGAGCTGGGTGGGGGAGTTATGTAGGAAAAACCTAAGAAGCCTCCCAAGAAAATGCTTCTGATGCTTCAGATAAGAAACTCTCAGAAGATGAATTACAGTCAAAAAAGAAAGCAGTTAACGGTGAGGACAAACACAAATAACTAGAGAGAAGAGAAGGGACTGAGGGAGGACCTGAATGTCGCATCTTGGACAGGTTGGTACTATTTAAATATTTGGAATAGACTAGTTATTACATTTACTGTACCTAAATAATGAATTTTTTTCTTGGAACTTTGGAAATTTCAATCCCGGGGTCAGGCTCACCTGTAGGCATGATTATGATTACATCATAATCACGTGTTGGCAGTGTTTGTGTAATTACTCTCACTGCCAAAAGGGGAAACACAAGTTTCACAGTGCAGGTTTAAAATCTGGAGATTCCAAAAGTCTGCTGAACCAGTGAAAAGATGTTGTGGAAAATTGTCAGTAGAGTTTAATTAATCTTTATAATTAATTGATAGTCTGTCTATATATATCTAATTATCCACAAACCAAAAGTATAATTAACAATGCTTGTTATGCTGTGTGATGATTCTGGTCTGTCCTGTACCAGAGGGGTTGCTGTGATAAGGGACATACCGGACAAACTTTCCAATTATAGAAAGCATTTCACTTTTCATTATGCTATGCTAAGTCAGTTAACTCTTGAATTAAACTTGGAGAACACCAACAATAAGATAACAAAAAAGAACAAACTTGTCAAGTAAGTTTTAGTTATTCAACCCAAAATCACAAATTATCCTTAAAGAGCTTTATAATATGTGCAGCACACCATGCACTTCTACCCTCAGTTAATAAACAACTACAGTGAGGGCTTGTGAAACTTTAAAACTAGCTCAACATAATTGCGTAGTTTCTCAAATCTGCCCCTCAGATGCCCAAAGCACCACACTACTGTGAAGTAGATCCTTATGGAGGCCAAAGTAATTAACATCTATAGACTAAAACAACAGCATGAAAGATGCAAGCAGGCATAACATTAATTATCCAACAGTTTACTGGCCAGGTGTTTATTTAGTGAGGCATTTTACCACGTTTGCCTGTAGTAAAGACAAATGAACACGCCGTGTTATTTTGGCATGCTATTTAAAACAAAACCTCAACACACATACAGAGATAAGTGATTGAAAAGGCACCAGAATGGGAAAACTGTAGGTTGGAGCATAAATTAATGAGAGAACTGTAAAGTGAGGAATAGAAATGTGTTCATGGAGTGTCTTTATCGTGAGATGTAGAGTAACTACAAAGGGCTACTGTATATGCGATTATGTCTCCTTTGCATTAATGCCCCAAAAGGAATCATTTGACCATGCAGCTTTCAGTGTGCACAAACTGTGCCAATTACATTTGCAGTGATAATATTTGAAATTGGACATTTATCTTAACGTGAATCCCAGGCTCAGGATATATACAGTATGTTCAGCCACTGGGTGAGCTAACTGTTACCTCAAAAAGTGGATGCTTAAGAGGGACATGATAATATATACTAATAATATTTTGTTCTTTTTTAGTTTCCTGTAGATTTACCTTTTAATTTCAGATTCCTAATCTTGCCCATTCCCTGTCAGCTCTGCTGCTAACTGACACAGCCATCAAATACCACAGCCTCGTTAGAGCATCTGTGAAACAACTTCCAACACAGAGGCAGCTGAACATATGCCACTTTCAACATGATGGAAAGGAAACAGAATGGGAATTACTTCTCCGAACTGACGGTTTGGGAGAGATACAGTATGTCTAAAAGGTACACTGTGATGTAAAATATGGAATGTAATCCTTTTATACTATTAGCAATTGAATTTCAGTAGCCAAACACATGTCTGCTATAATCATAAACCCTCATTTGGAAATAGAGTCTTGTTATCACTTTCAAGGTTTCTTTGCTTCATTTGTTTGCAAACTGGAGGTACAAAAATTTCCTTGTGAAAATGAGAACTTCCCAAAGCATACTTTTCCATCCGTAAAAATTTTGAATATACTCTTCTCTGAGGTGTGCAGGTTAAACATCCCAAACTCTTCTCTCTGAGACTGTTTGAGATCATTCCCAGTGAATACTGAGGACAATGCAAACTATGCTGTTGCTGTTGCTGTGACCCTGAAAGCTGACGTCAGTAATCAAAGTGAAATCAGCAAGAATATTTTCTGTCAACTAAGTTCATTTAACTTGAATGGTTTCAGAATGACCTTCCTGTGGAGGGCAACTGAAGTCCATCCATCCATCCATCCATCGTCAACCGCTTATCCTGTGTACAGGTACACCCTGGACAGGTCGCCAGTCCATCGCAGGGGGCAACTGAAGTAAGTAAAGTAAACAAATTTGAATTAAAAACATACTAATCATGTTGAAGCAATTTGTAAATGCACAAAGACATGACAAATGAAATCTTCATGTCCGGGTTCATATGAAAATGGATACATTAACATTGACGTGGAACAACCCCTGCACCACAATTTGATTGCTAAATACACATCAAATAGACAAACCGTACATATATGACTACTACCTGTATTTACTGACAGAGCCTGCACACTCTCACTCTCTTCACAGACAGTGCAGATATATTATTTACTTATCATGTTTCTGTACATGCACACCAAGACAGTGTCAAACTGATGTGACGTGCATTTCCAAGTGAGTAATGCTTCAATATTACCACTCCACTTCAGAGTCCTAGCCAGTGCTCAAGTTAAATTGCAGAAATTGGGTTGAAAATGGCTATCCCTCCTCTAGTGATCCGTGGAATGGGCTCTGGCCTGGTCCATCACATTTTACAGCTAATTTCATGTGGTGAAATGAGAGATGCAAATATGTTTGTGGTTTCATGCATGAACCAAGATTTACGACCAGGGCCCTCATAGGTCTCTTAACACATCAGCTCCCATCCATCATGTGACAAATCCCTCGTATTAGCGCCTCCCTTTAAGTCACTCAGCAGCTATTAGGTGCATGAGAGGAGCCTGAGCATCCTCTCCTGTATAGCCTACATTGCGTCATGCTTTTACACTTTCACACTGACTGCCACCTAAATCATTTTACACATGAGACTGCCTCGCCCCATTTATGCCTAAACAACCTGCTGAAGAATAGATGTTGAGGCTACTGTAAATTCACTTAGAGTACAGATTTTCACCATAGATATAGTGAAGTCATTCGAGATTAAGACAATATAATTATTGCACAAGGAATAGTTTGTCATTTTGTGAAGTATGCTTAGTTGCCGTCTTGCAGAGAGTTATAAGATTGATACCACTCTAATGTCTGTAGGTAAATATGAATCTACCAGCAGCCAGTAAGTTGGAAACAGATGAACTGGATTCATGTTGCTGTGGATTGTATTTCCTATGCTTCTGCCTTAGAGGTTATTTGTCTGTAAGTTATGTGTAAATCATTATCAAACACTTGCACTTTTAATGCATGTTACGTTAGAAACTGTTCTATTGTTCTGCTCAAACGTGCTCTGCTAGCTAGCAGTTACAGCAATAACAATAATAATCATTTCCTTTGTGACTTTTAGCTGTTATGGCAGTTGAGCTGTGCTTTTCATACAGTAGGCTACAGTGCATGCTTTATGCTTTGGTAGGAAATGTGTATTTGCGTAGTTATGTATACATACCTTCTATATCAATATGTTAATGTTTAGGTACTGATTTATGTTCTTATGTCTGTAATGTTTCAGTTTTACAAAAAAAACAACAAAAAATAAAAGAGGAAACAACTTTAGTAAAATACAAGAAAAGCCAAGTCTTGTGTGCTTATTGAAGGACTTTTGAGTGTTAACTGGCTGTCTAGCTTTGCACCAGAGAATGCATTGCAAGGGCAGCACACAGGTAGTCGCAGAAAAAAGAAAATCCTCACACCCCATTTGTGAGCTGTTCCTTGTCATCTGTCATCCACAGGGCTGTCTGCTAAGCACAGGAAACAGAAATGATTTGGACACGACTCATAATTATGGGTCTTAGAATTTTAATCTTTCGTACTTTTGTCACGTGACATCTACCTAGACTCAGTAGAGAAACATAATGATTCGTTCATGACTTATAAATATGGGTCTTTCCGGGTTTGTTAATTTCCCGCATGACAGCTAAATTTGGAGCATGTATTGGAGCAAAATAATTTTTAAGCACTTTAGGGACATAAAAATAAAAGGGGGGTGGGGGGGTTGCATGCACGTAGCGGTTCCATGCAGGTCTATTAAAAGTACTGTTTAAAAACGATGTAATATTCTTCTGTGTGGTTCATCTATGGTGATAATTTATTTGAGCGTCATGCGAGGTTCAAGCACAACTCAGCACAACACTGGCACAGCTGGTGCTCTTTCTCTCTTCCTCTTCTACCACACACACACTACGCCACACGTTCGCAAAGGGGACAGAGTATGCAGGGCCCTCATGTGATAAGGGCTCACAGATATAGGGGCCCACCAAGAATGCCTATGTATAGGCTACAGAATTTTGTGCTATGCCCTTGGGCACTGGGCCTTTATAGAATAATGATAGAGAATGATCAAGAAGTAAATTTGTGTTATACTTTGTCAACTGAAGCAAACCATGTAGCCTTCAGTGTTGTTTGAGAACCACTTTCCACAGGACAGCTATAAGCCACACTAAATAGTTAAAATAAACAAAATGACTCATGAAAAAAGACTTGTTCATTATAGAGTGTATGCGTTGACAACCCCTTCCCCTTTCAGAACACGCCCCCCCAGCTGGACTGAGTGGCAAAACAACACTTGACAACTTGACAACATTTGTGTGATGTTATACTGTGATGAAATAAATTAGATAATAATAATAAAATCGTCTCCTTGCTCCTTGCAAAATGACACAGAATTTGCCATGTGAGTTGTACTCTTGTGTGGAACGGAAAAGTAACAAAACAAATATCCATAGTCACATCAAGCCTCACATACTGCTCCAGCTCTCAGCCTCCTACACAGACATCTAAATTGGTTCCCGGCTTCATGATGGGCTAAGGTGTTTTGCAAGAGTTAGTAATGCTGCTGTTGGTGGAGGAAATATTACTACTTACGGACCAGGTAGTAAATGCAAAGGTATGTTTTTCTGGCATGAGGAATTTGAGGGATAGTTATCTTACCTGCTGCCTATACATTCAACCCAGATTAATGAGAAACAGCTAGAGGTAGATAGTGAAGAAAATTGATACAGCAAGCTGATTCTCTCATTGATGACATTCATAGCCGAAAACAACACCACTTCTTGTCATGATTTCTAATGTTATTGCAAACAGGAACATTGACATTGCAAAAAATATATATACACAGTAGGGCTGACCCCAAATAGTTGAAGATTCGATGCTTCGATGGGCGGAGCCCGATTCGACTGTCAATTTCACAGTCGAAAGCCTTTCAGCGTCAGTGCGCATGTGTAAGCGTAGCGTGTGTGTGTCCAGTGGCGGAACACTTGCTGAAGAGACAGAGCCCCAGCTTCACTGGTGTTTTGCCGAGTTGTCCGCACCTCGCGAAACTTTATCACCATTGATGAACCACATAAAGAATATTTTATTTATAGTTTTTAATAGCCGGCTACTTGAAATAGACCCGTGAGGAACCGCGATGTGCATGCTGTTGTCGGCAGCAGTAATGCATGTAAAACTGCACAAGATTGCTGAAGGACAGGCAAGAGAGAGAGAGAGAGCGCCTCGGTTTAGCAGGCAATTTACAGTGTAAGTTGAATGAAAATAGACTGCTGCTCTGCAGCTTCTCAAGATGAAAGTGGAGCTACCATGTGTAACACCCCCCCAAACCCCCACCCCCCCGGTCGCAATCGCCACGCACAAAAAAACACACATCAGGCAGGACTTGACGATTCTGATTCGACTATATAAATCCTTAGTCGGGGACAGCCCTGATACACACAGATGCGCACTCCTTGTAGTGTCATAAACAGTGAATAACCAGAGGGGCAATATGAAAATGACTACCAAGCAAAATGCAAATACTATATCATTATTAATGAACTTTTCTATTTCAATGGCAAGGCATTAGATCATAAACCAGGGCCCCCTTTGATACACGCCTGGGAGAAACAATCCGGACTGACATTAATGAATGAGAGCATCTGGCTCATAATGTATTGTGATTTTTGCTTTGAAGCAAATAGCCAAAGTCAATATACCATACTCAAGTAGCAGTGGAAGTTACAATTTGATAGCACTGTTATATTTACATCTTTATTACCAGTACCTAGTGAAATTCCTAGTGAAAACCACAGTCATTGCACACACATTTCTCAGTGACATTTCCCTCTGATGTAAATGTCCAATTACTGTATGTGGCGGCACATTTTATGATGCGTAAGAAATATGATGATAGAAACAAAATCACTGAATTTGATTGAAAGAATGATGAAAAGTTTCTTCTTCTTCTTCTTCTTCGTTCTTTTTGTTTGTTAATTTTCAAGGCATGCTGTGTTGCCAAGCAACCAGCCCACCTCTCACTATGAAAACAAAAGAATATAGCTCTTTTATATTACCAGCAGGATTAGACACTACACATGCACTGGGGCAGACAGTATACACAACTGCAATTATTTAATCATACTGCCTGCAATTAGTTGTATATTGACATTATTTATTCACAAAATCATTACTTTATCTTTGATACCTGCCGTTCCAGGCTCTATGGAGAATATGAGTATGGCAATAGAGCAATGCATTTAAAGAGGTACATTGTAAAAATGCTCATAAAAGTGTGTGTGTGTGTCTGGGTGTGTATCTTGAGGACAATACATTAAGGAAGTTTATTATTTTATGTGTGAAATATGTCCAGTATCTACACATACACATTAAAAAGAAACAATTGTTTCTCTATCAATGGCAAAAATCTACTGTCTTTCCTTGAAATTTGGCATTTTTAGTGTATGTGTATGTGTGTGAAAGAAAGGCCATTTCCGCTTCCAGGTGTGTTATCCTGAGTTTATTCGTAGCTGCTGCTAGCTCTACATTCATGTCTCCTGTACCCGTTTTCCTCAACTTCTTCATCATTAACACGCTGCTTGAAAGACACCGGCAATTACACACTTGGTGAATTCTTTTGCCTTTACTCTCACAGCGCGCCCGATGATTTAAGAGCTTTGAAATAAACAGCAAGCATTAGCATAATGAATTGTTGTAAAACCAGCTGTTTTAGCTGTTTACGTATGAACAGCTGGCTGTGTTTTCATTCTGACACATAGGGCCATTATATTATAGAGGTCAGATGGATGTTGGACATGCTTCAGATCAGCAGGTGGCACTCTCATGTCAGTAAAATAGGCAAGTACATTTTGAAGTTTGATGATGAATTTAGGTGGAGGAATTGTGCTCCACTGACGGAGCAGATGTGTTTGCCTTTTAGTTTATCTTAAGCCTTTCAGAGAGAACAACTTCAGTCATCTGGATTATAACAGCTGTGTTTCAAAGATAAGCCACGTCAGACCGACGCTGAGGGATTTTCTTTTTCATTTTATGGACAAATGACACATGAATATTTGTCTGATACTCAAGCACTTTGTTTAAGAGTTGATGTGTTTAATACTATATATATAATGCTAATGGCTTGGATAAGCTCCCAGGCCTTACAGTGTGAAATCATTTTAACATGATTGTTGCATATAGCAGCGGGAGCTGAGATATTGATCGACTGTATAATAACCGCAGCATCCTTTTATCTTTTTTCTTTCTGCTTGCCCTCTCATAAGAATAGATGAATCAATAAAATAATATTTAAATCAGGCTGTCTAATGTGTCATAGGGATCAATATTGTTGTCTTAATATAATGTGATGTTTAAGGAGGATGTCTAAATGTATGCGTGACGCATAAAAGTTGCATTCAAATTTATTTTTGTTACATATCAATGGTATCCTATTATTAATGGATATACAACCATTATCATGATTTAAACCTGTATTCATAATGCAAATACACTTTTCGTTCTTTATGATGATGTGACAGACTATCAAATAATGGAGTCATTACATATCCCGGTTAATGAGATTGCCTTGTAATTAACTTGATATTTATAACAAAATTATAGCTTCAGTCTTGACTATGTTTCCATGAATATTAAGGACGACGGAGTTGGTTTCAGCACACCTGCACGCATCGCAAAATCACATCTCATAATGAAAATTACAAAATCTATTTCGCAAATTGTCATCTATCTGTGTGGCACAGATGAAGTAGGGAAACTGTTGCAGCTTATCAGCTGTAATCATGTGTCTACCCAGGCTTATTGACTTGCCAGGTGAGCAGAGTTTGCAGTTTGCAGTGAAAATTATGCTACAATCCCCTACACGCTGCTGTACACTGGCAAACAACTGAGATCAGCAGGAATAATTGCCTCCAACTCAAACCCTTGATGAATTAGAGGCAGTAAAGTCCCAGAGGGCAGAGGTTATGCACTGGATGAAATTACCCGAGTATTTCCAATTTTACCTTGGACCTAAACTCCCTCTATTAAGAGTCAGGGACACACATACTCCTGCACGCTTTGCAGTTTCCTCTCGGTTGAATGCTCAAGAGGCTAGCGGAGCAATTTCCTTCATATTCAATCAAACGTGAGTGAGGTGTTAACAGTGTAGCAGAAAGAGAAAACACACTCTGACTGTCTTGCCCAGACACCTCTCAAGATTAATAAAGTCTGTGAGCGTGTAGTTCTTTTATGAACAAAATGCACTTCTTAAAATATGGTCAAACTCTGTCAACCTTGCAT